CCCGGGTCGCGCGGGTGAGAGCCGCGTATCCTAACCACCTAGACTACGACGGATGGCTCGTTAGGGTAAATATTACACCGTAGCACCGCTGGCTGATACCGTCGCTTCTTGTACCGCATGGCCAGGGTTGCTGTAGCAAAACCCTAAACCCTTAAGCCCCAAACTCCGAGCCCCTCTTCACGTTCATCTTTTCTGCTGAATCTGTGCGCTAAGCCGTAAACGTCTAAACAAAAGGAGACAAAAGAGCCCAGAAGTCAAAAGCTGTTCATACGGAATCAGGGTGGCTGACGCGGGAGCAGGGTTAAACTCACACCAAAAACTCAAACCCCAAACACTTGACAATAAACCCTGTAACAGTGTTTGCATATGACTGCAGTAGGTGTACGTTACATCATATGATGCATTCTTATACAACTTGTATAACAACGCAGCCGCCTCCATGCTATGATGGTGTTCTGGTAGGTATCACAACAGAGCTCCCAAATCTCTGCCGCTCGGTGCCTTTATGTGAGTAGTGAAAGCAGCACATTGCGCGGCCTCAAATATCAGTACTAAGTTCCAGGTAACAAATGTCTACGGTGTTGGCGCATGCATTGAACAGGGGGAGTCAGCGGAGTAAGCGCGCTTGCTGTTGCCGTTTTCTTCGGTTGTTGCATCGAGGAGCGATCCAACTAAAGATTCACTGCATCTCCTCTGAAGGAGACTGAGGCCCTTGGTGAAAACTCCAAGAAAAGTAGCTCAGCATTCTCTGCATGTTACTGGATTCTTACACGCACCTTCACAAATTATTTTTACTTGTTGCCTCTTACAACACTACTGGGCCAAGGTCTTTATAGCGGGGAGAAAGATGAAACCAGAATAGACTGTATCATGCAATGCTAATATTCTAAAATTCCGTGGCGCCAGCGGAGAGACACTAAACATTTTACTTTATGGGTTTGCTGGCTAGGCAGACGTACTACAACTTTATAAAAGTTTTGTCGTAGTAGGAGGAGGAGTAAAGATAAATATTTAATTTATATTGAGAGAACCACGAAAGAGTTGTAAGAAATATTTATAATTTATAAAACAAAATTCCGTCGCCGGGACTTGAACCCGGGTCGCGCGGGTGAGAGCCGCGTATCCTAACCACCTAGACTACGACGGATACATTTCTCTAGCTTAGTTTATGGTGTATAGAGAGAGAGAGAAAGAGAGAAAGAGAGAAAGAGAGAAGAGCTAGCTGCTGTTGTATACACCCCGCTCTTTGCTGCTTTGTCTCCGTCACGGGGAGGAGACAGGCAAACCCTCGAGCTGATTTTTTTTTTTTTTTTTTTTTTTTTTNATTTTTTTTTTTTTTTTTTGTTTTTTTGGGTTCATTTATAAACTATAAAAAAGTTTGTTGATACATAACAAATAAAGAAAAAGAAAAGGAGATACAAGCGAGGATAAGCACATAAAGTATATATAAAATATATATAGATATATTTTATATAATAAAATAATTATATATATCAATATTATTTTCTATATATTAAAACCCCACCAAACCACTAACCCTTGCCTCGATGCAAGCAAACATATAAACCCTAATTTTTATATAAGGGGCTGAGAGACAAACCCCTGAGGCAATATATATAAAGAATATCCAATAAAACCCTAAACCCTAAACCCTAAACCCTAATATTTCATTGCTAGTGTATGCTTTGAGGGTTTAAGACTTAGAAATTAGGGTTTAGGGTTTAGGGTTTAGGGTTTAGGGTTTAGGTGGCTGCATGCAGCGGAGCATCGAGCCTCTAACAACAAGCAAGCATATTCCTATCCCTCTTTGTCTCCTTTATGATGATAAATATATTTATTTTTGTTATTTATATTTAATATATTTCACAAATGCTATTTGGGGTGTACATACAGCCCTGTTCTCCTCTGGGTCTTTGTCTCGATGGATCCACCGGTCTTCGGCTGCGTGCTGTGAGGGTTTAGGGTTTAGGGTTTAGGGTTTATAGTTTATATGTGTAGATGAAATTAAGATTTGTGTGTATTGTGTGGTTGTTGGAGTTGGTATATTTAGCGTGAATGTTGAGAGAATAAGGGTTTATTAGGGTTTAGGGTTTTCTAGGGTTTAGGGTTTTTTTCGAGGGTTTAGGGTTTTTTTGAGGGTTTAGCGATGCAAATACAAGACAGTGCTTCGCAGCTTGATACAGAGACAGCAACAGCAGCAAGGGGATGGCTAGCAACAACAGAAACTGAGTCTCTCTCTTCTCACCCCCCCCACCCTCTCGATATATATTCAACAGCAGCTGTCTCTTCTTCTCCTCAGCAGGCAACAACAGCAGCTTTGTGGGTTGCAGGGGGTACCAGTCCATCCAAGCTAGGGGGCCCCCAGGAGGAGGAGACAGGGGGGCCCCC